GCCGGCGGAGCTGGGCGGCCGGGGGGTGCTCGGCCGGGGGCTGGCCCAGGGCCGGCACCCCAGGGCCAGGCCAGGCCGGGGCCGGCCACCGGAGGGGGCCAGACTAGGCCGCGTCGCGCCGACGCACCTCCCTCCCCCCCCCCCTCCTTACCTGCTGCCTGCTTCCCGCGAATCAAATGTTCGCGGGAAGCAGGGGAGGGGGCGGAGTTTGGGCGGGGGCGTGGGCGGGGCCGGGGCCCCGTGGAGTGTCCTCTTTTGGGACACTCCACATATGGTAACCCTAGCTTAGGTAAAAGAAGTGTTGCTGTAGAGTGAATGAGGGAAGCTAAAAACACAAACGAGAATTTCAGCAAGAGAGAGAGAAGCAACCAACTTAACCATAGAAGTTATTTATTGAATAATAGTGATAACTACACAAGGAGGACTAAACCAACCTAACGTACATGATTAAAGGTTAATACCTAAGGTAGAAAGGAAAACAGAGAGAAAGAGGGGGGGATCTCACCCACTCCATGAGGCTTGAACTGGTCGGGGTTCCCAGGTGATGGTGATAGCTGAGAGTCCTGAATGCTGGAGACAGGCAGAGCCCCCAGCACGATCAGTCAGAAGATGGAGTTCCAGTGGAACTGATGCATAGTTTGGATCTAAGCATCAGAACCCTGACTAGAGGGTGAGTAGGAATTTTTGTAGAGAAATTACAATGGTTCAAGGGAGAACACTAGATTTGCTTATAGGTAAGCTGATGACTCAAGGGTTTTCTGTAGACTAGACAATAGGAGCTGATCACTCTTGGCTATGGGTGGTATTTTCTTCCAGGGAGCTCACAGTGCAACTAGGCTGCTTAAGTATTTGGATATCAATTAAGGATTCATTACTAGAATTGGTCTGATAACTGCTGAGCTGGGTGTGTGTGCAGGCGTAGGTTCATTAGCATCTGGAGCAGAGATTCCCAGGATGCAGTGCTTACCTGCTTTTTCTGGTCCCAGAATTCAGTGTGGTTCTCTGTTCTCCATTCTGTATGTAAATTGAGATGTCTTCCTGTCCCATCTTTCATGCAGATGAGGCTAGGGGAGTTGTCTTTGCTCTCCATTCTGTATGCTAATGGAGATGTCTTAATCTGGTCACCCTTGTCAGGAGGGGTCTAGGTGTGTCTCCCAACGCCCTTCACTGCTCTCTGCAAGTTTTTCTTTTTCTGATGGGTTTTGGTTTAAGCAGAGGCTGGGCGGGGGGGGGGGGGGGGGGGGGTGTCTTTCATGTGTCTGGCTGGATACTGCACCCTGGTTCCCCAGTAACACAGAGGTGTCTGGTATCACAAGAAGTTCACTCTATTGTTCAGGAAGAGGAAGAACACTGCAGCTGCAGACATCTAAGAGGCAAAGAAAAGAGAAGTGGAGAAATCAGTGTTGGCTGTATAATTAGTCATTGTTGACAAGAGTCTCTTCAAAATTTGCTATGCTTCATAACATTATACATTTACAGTACTAACAGAGGGACTGGAACAATAATAGTCTCATCAGTCTTGAATGATTGCAAAATGCAAACCTGATATTGGTGGTTTAATTCTTATCTGGATTTTCTTTTAAATCAACATGAAAAGAAACTTTCTAAGAGATTTTGTTTGGCTGACCTTTGCAGTTTGAAGGCCACATAGCTGGAGACAATGAGAGGAACTATATCTCTGTAACAGATACTATATGCACTACATACTCAAGAAAATATCTGACTAGCAACAAGCTGGCAATGTTATGCCATCATGGTACTGTTTTCAAGAACAGTGAAATGTACAAGAGACCTAAGAGGAAACAAAGGCTATATGCTTGCAAAATCTGTAATGAATTTTTTCAATTGCTATGATTACAGCAGTTCACCCTTCTGTCAGTTGAGAACAAAGATAATTGAAGGGCTTTGGTCAAAAGTGAAAGAGGCTTGAATTAGTGCATCTGAAAGCTGCACTAGGAAATTCTTCAAACCGTTTTCGTGAGTGTGATGCTTTTTAATGCAGCTTCAGCAGGTAAAATGATCCAAACTTTCTAAAAGCTATGGAAAAAATAACGGTGGTTATTGGTGTTTTTGTTTGTTTTAAATAGCAGTGCCCAAATGGAAGGAGCATGTGGACTTTTTGGGAACAGTGTTATGAATGGTTCACATCTGTTCTATTAAATGAGGGAAAACAACCCCTGCTTCTGTAAAGCATAATTTCTGGATCTTGCCGCAGGCTGTGGATGGTGGTAGGGGAACCATGTCCCTTTCTCCAAATAAGACACATTTGTGACAGATAACATATATAACTGAGGGGCTTGGGTGGAGTTCAGTGTTTGGGGCATGGGATGACATGTTGAATAAAAATTGAACAGCAGGCTTGATACCCAATTTCCCCCAGGAAGGCTGGACATGTGGTCACATGACAACTTTTTAATAATACATACTCAAAATAGCTTGAGTTAGGGGATGCATTGGCAACTCTAACTTTGCCATGTCAAAACTTTGGCATGCGTACCAGTATGAACTGCAAACCGAATAGCCTTTTTATGTAAAATTTTTGGTTGGAATTCTAATATAATACACTGTAGTCCAGCCTTGAAAATACACCAATCCAAATGCCATATCTATTTGCCCTCTTTTCTTTTATTGTAGTTAAAATTAATTTAGTTGTCTAACAGTCCTGTGTGGGTGAGCAGAAAATGTAAGCTTGCTATAACTTGTGACAGGACATAACTCTTCTAAAAAGCAATATAATTGTCAATCCCCCTGCCACCCAAAACAATCAACCAACTCCATCCAACTGTTTGTGAAAACAGTGCTCTGTCTTTAAATATATCACATTTCAGTGGTAGTATCTTGTAAATGTGATTTCCTCATTCCCTCAGGGTGTAATCTGTAACTATCTTCAAGATAATAGTATAAATGGTGGCCCAAATTACTCTCAGCCACAAAATGGGAGACTAGCTAGCAAAGCCTTGGGAGAGGGGAAGTTAAAACTAGACTGCAAAAAAAAAATCTTAGTGACGCTGTCTACTTGAATCTTTTTTTTAATTTTTTATTTTTTAATCTTCTGCTGAAGCCTCTTTTAAATATTTATCATATAAAAATACAGGTTTTCTGCTGCTAGCTGTTTTTCCTCTTCTTCTTCCCACCCACCTCCAAAAAGCCTTCAGGCAGGCACAGGAGCAACAGTACTAAATTTTCTGAAGATCACTTTTCCAGCCCTTTCCCTTCTTTTAAGGACCTGTATGTACCATTGGCTTCAATGGGAGCAGGCCTTATGTGCGCAAACCTGCATATTGTCTCCATTTCTGTTCTAGTTTTGTTGCTAATTTAAACAGCTCAACACTACTTTATTTGCATTTTATGTACAAGGGAGCTCCCCTCAGCAGTACATGATCTCCTGCTTGTGCATGAGACCAAGTGCAACTAACAACAAAATAGGGAAATTGGTCATACATAAAGTAATCTAAGTTTATGCATGGAGGAGGAAGGGGAGATTGGGGAATTTTTGTGTGTGTGTAATCTTTGCCATGTTTTAGGTCACTTGTAGCAGTAGTACTAACCTACCCAACCTAACTGAATCCCACCACGTGAGGGTCGCCCCATCACCATTACCCAGCCCACCTACTTGTACCCATGACTATTTACACCCCCTATGTGGATGGTTGACCCTCACCGCTTACCAACTGTGTCTTGATCTTGCCCACCGCTTACCCCCCCCCCCCATTGGAGACATCACTGTCTGTATGTATTATGTGTGCTGCCAACCCTGACATAACAACATCCTCCCCATACTCTGTATGTTCCCCCAATGATCAACAACTGACTCTTCAAATCTTTTGTACTGTTTATTTTTTAAATATTCTCTAATAAAATATAAGGCCTTTTTTTTTTTTTTTTTTTTTTTATTTTCTCTAATAAAATTTTAGGCCTTTTTTTTTTTTTTAAGTTGAGCATTTTGTGCAGTGGAATGGACTACAAAAGGAAGGGGTTGAGCCACCATCGCTGCTACTGTTTGATACCAGGGTAGATAAAACGGGAGCAGCCCTGAAAAATGCAGAGAATCCGAATGGGTGACCCAACTGATCTTTGTGACCTACTATCTGTTAGTTTGAATGTAATTATGTAGTATAAACATACATTTGATGTTTATATATAAAATGTGGTCTGGTTTGACAGTAGGATGAGGCTTAAATCCTGGATCAGGCTTAAATCTCTTCTCTTTGGTTCTGTCTGACAAAGAATATATAATAGATGTAATGAACTATTCTCTGACAGAAGGGTTGAAGTAGTCTTCCTCAAAGTCTCCTATACCTACTCAGATAACATTACAACTGCTGTGGAGGAAGCTGTTCAGAGTCCTCTCTGAAGGCATTATCCTGTGCCATATTAAAATGGGGTAGTAGAAAAGCAGAGGGGTTACTTGAGTCTTTAATAACAAAAAATACAAAAAACCCACCAGTAAAGGTGTAATGATTGATACACAAGCTTACAACTTTTCTCTTTTTCTTCCTCCTTTCCCCTAAATCCTGCAGAACAATTCGAGTATGGTTGAAAAGGGACAGTGGCCAGTACTGGCCCAGCATTTACCACACAATGTCATGTAAGTAACACTATACATAAATGTAATGTTATGATGTATTAGTGTTGATTACTAGGTTCAGCCAAACATAGAATCCATTCTGTGGAGCTGTTAAATTGTTAATGTTAAAGAAAAGTAACAGTAATTTGTTTGATTAGGCTATGCAAAACCCCTTTTGAATTACAATAATTTAAGACTAATTGTAGATAAGCTCAGAAACAGAAATATTTGCTGGGTTTTTAACTTTTCAGCATAAATGTACTTATTTTTTGTCAATAGTTCTTCAATCTTACGTGGTGTTTTAAAGGACATTGTGCCAACTCATACAATGGGGAACATCGTTAGTAATGTCTCATAGTTTGGTAACATTACACTTACACGCACTTTTTAAAGGAACACTCTCAAATTCTTTGTCTGAATTTGACTTAATGTTTCTAGGTGTGTGTGTGTGTGTGTGCTGGATTCTGAATGTTTAGTCTTAAAACTCTTAATGAGAAATTAAAAACTGAAAGAGCATCTTGTTTATCTATGTAATATTATTGGAATCAGAAGTTGCTATTGCACATGGTCCTGCTAGTGTATTTAAATATTTAGAAGTTGATCACGGGGAAATGCTTACTGTTAGTTGTGATGCATCACTTCTTAGAACCTGAACATATTGCCCATTAAAATCTCTTCTGCTTTAATATTTCTGCCTAAAGAATCACTACTTAAATGTAGAGCGGCTACCTAGATGCTTTACATAAATGGTATTAAACCATGACAATGTAGGATATACACAAACATAGGGCCAAACCCTGCAGTATAATCAAAGCTACCATTGAAGACAGTGTGAGCTTTGACTGAGGACTGCAGGGTTTGGCCCTTAATGTTCTGCTCTGTCTTCTCTGGTACAGCTGCATGCCAACTAACAAATCTTAATTATAGGCTGAGCTGAACTAACCACTGAACTTGTGCATCAGCATCATTTTTTCTCAACCATTAAATCTTTAAAACAAATTTTGGGGCAGTCATGAAGGTCGAGAGGACTAGAAAAAGCTAATGTTTGACAGAAATTAGGTTGTAAATTGGGACCTAGGAAACTGTAGGCTAGTTAGCCTGACATCAATCCCAGGCAAAATCCCAGCCTTGGAAAAGCTGATCTGGGATGCAGTCAGAAAGAATTACAGGATTGTAGCATGATTAAGCTAATTAGTATGGTTTTATGGAAAATACATATTGTCAAACTTACCATTTATTTTTTTAGATGAGTTTGCTTGATAAAGGTGGAAACATAGTATACTTAGACTTTTGGAAGGCATTTGATGTATTCCCACGTAACATTCATTTTTGAGGAGGAACATCTTGAAGATCAATGCAGCCCATATTAAATGGATGAATAACTAACTGATAGCTCACAAAAAGTAATTGTAAATAGGGAATAGTGGTCCAGTGTGGGTGTTTCTAGTGGGGTCTGTCTGGGATCTGTTCTTGGCCCAGTGCTATTCAATATCTTTGTCAATGATTTAGAAGAAAATATAAGATCATTGCTGGTAAAATTTACAGATGACACAAATTAGTGGAATGGTAAATGATTGGAACAGGTTAGTTATAAGACCTGAATCATTTGGTGGGCTTATTTGAGCATGCATTTCAATGTTGCCAAATGCAAGGTCATACATCTAGGAACAAAGAATGTAGGTTACACTTATAAGATTGGGGACTGTATCCTAAAAGCAGTGACTCTCTCTAAAAGGTTTAGGGGTCATAGAACACAACCAGTTGAATATAGGCATCTAATACGATGGTGTAGCTAAGAGGGTGAATGTGATCCTAGGATGTATAAGAGGGACAATATCAAGAAGGATTCAGGAGGTGGCATTATCTCTGCATATGGCATTAGTGAGACCATTGCTGGAATTCTGTGTCCAGTTCTGGTGTCCACCGTTTTAAAAAAAGATGTTAAAAAATCAGATAGATTCAGCAAAGAGCTATAAGAATGATTCGGGCAGGGTGGATTTGATTTTAAATCACTAATCAGGAAGACTCAACTTAATCCTGGATTTCTACATAAGTGCATTCTTGTTGGTTGTTATAACCTTAATACATATTATTCACAACTCTGAGATGTAGGTTTAATTTTTAGAAGGTACACACTATACATTTTTAAAGTGATTTATTTTGAAAACTTTTCAGATTAGTTTTACAGCTATATCAGAAAATGAATGTTTGGTTATTTCATTTACCAAAGGTAAATGAAGCAGATAGTTCACCTCCCAATGACTTCATAAATATCTCCAATTCAACAGTTTAATCATTAATATTTGGAGGATTTTCTTGCCAAGCTGTATTAGGAGGAGAATATCACCAGACAGACATTTTAAATTGTTTTATTTAACTAAAACGACAACATATGTATTCTGGATTTTTTTCTTCAACAGTAAATGTATAATGTTTTAAAAAAACAAGCATATGATTTTTCTTAAAATTTCATTAAACATTCAAGTTTTTAAAATCAGGTTTGTTTTTGTTAAAATTGTTTAAAATAGTTAAATGAAATATTAAAAAAAAAAAAAAAATTGACTGTCAGTCAGGTAAACATGAGAAACTTTAAATATTGGCTTCTGCAGTTAATTCAGTCGTCTTCACCATCATTTTCCTGTTTGTTCATAATCTGGAAAAGAAAAACAAGCTTTCCTGCTTTTTCAGGTCCCAATTGATTTCTCAATTTGGAATGAATTAGTCCAAAGGAAGAAAATATTCTTTCTACACTGGCAGAAGAAGCTACTTCTGTTAAAAGTGAGATTATCACTTCAACAGTCTCTGAATCCAAGTGCTTAATTGACTTCAACCAGTTCACTGGTGTGACTTTCTTTAAAACATCATCAGCAAACCTATTTCTTGAATGGTTCTTATTCCCAAACTAGGTCTCTTTTACGGCCTGCTGCCATTGTAGGTTTTCCCTTCTAGTGAGAGAGTGGTATGGTAGATCTCAAATCAATGAAGGCTACACTCAGAAAGACCTCAAGACTTCTGGAATATGCTGCTCAAACAGTTTCACTTTTGTTTCTACTGCCTGTCCCTCCCTTCTCGCGATTATCTCCAGTCTTCTTCTCCTTGTCCAGATCTATTCTGCCCCCAACAATCCACCCTGGATTCAGGGTCTGGAAAACAAACCTTCTAATAAGACGCTAAAAAAGCTCTATCTATTTTGTTTATCCAAGAGAAGTTGAAGGAGGTGATGTAATCAGTCTACAAGTGCCTATGTGGGAAAGAGATTTGATGTCTTTTTTTATCTAGCAGAAAAAGACAGGAGATCCAGTGGGTTGGAAGCTGAATCTAAAAAATGCAGACTAGAAATAAGGTCCTCATTTCACAGTGAGGGTAACTAACCAATGGAACAATTTGCCTAGCAATGATGTGGATTCCCCATCTCTTGAAATCAAGACTAGATAGTCTAAAAGACCTACTATAGCTCAAACAGAAGTTGTAGGCTTGATACAGAAATTACTGGGTGAGGTTCTTTGTCTTGTGTTATGCAGGAGATCAGATTAGATTATTGGAATGGTCTTGTCTAGCATTATGTATCAAAGGAAACAGGAAAAGAATAGTTAACTTTAAGTTGCATTAGATGTGCAAAGAAATATCTGCCAAGGTATTAGAGAAAAAACAGTAAATCAGAGCCTCCCCCCACAAAAAGAAGTGTCTAGTGTTGCAAATGATTTATCACTATAGTGATGTAGAAATTGTGATGAAATAGATTTGTCACTCTTATTTATTTTTGCATTAAATTTTTTAATTCCTTTTTCATTCTGTCTTGTAGCTCTGTTCACTACATTCTCACTAAATACGTCTAAAGACATTCTTCCCTTTTTGAGGTTTCTTCTGGTTTTGTAATGGGGTCTCAGAATAGCCTGCGTATAATCACATGAGAGACAATCTTTTTTTGCGTGGCTGCCAACAGAATCGCAAAATGATTGTTTACCACAACAGATGTGCAAGGTTTGAAATGCATGGTCAGACACCGGGTTAACATGTGATCGAATGTTATTTCTGCCCTGAAGTCTGCCTCCTCCAGTGGTACCTTATGCCAACTCCAGAAAGATGTTGATGGTCATGAATAGTTGCTCTGTCATGCAGTTCAAAGACTTTGAACATGAGATAACATAGCAAGCCTCACTTTTAGATATCAGCTTCTGTGTATGAACTCTTCAAGCCAGATTTTCAGCCCTGGTCAAATTCCATTTGTTCATTCCAGCTTGTGGCTGGAATTAATGGGGTGTATTTCCTTTACAGCACTACTGTGCCTTGCTGTAGCCTAGCAACAGGGAATCATGCGTCAAACAAAGCAAAGACACACACAATAAAATAAGACCATCTCTTCAGTTGGAGCTTGACTGTCAATCTGCTTATCAAAACCAGGCATCTTTCTTCCTAGAAGCCAAAAACATTCAGTGTTAATTGTGATATGATATGTACTTTAACAATTGTCTTGTGATGGTCTTCTTGGCAGCTCCTTGTTCAGCTATGGCTTATCATCATGACAGCAGAAGAATATTTGTAGGCCAGGATAATGGTGCCATTATGGTAAGTTGTTGCTGCTGCAGTTTCTTTTAAGAACACAAATTAATTGTGAAGCTTCTTTGGTAGTGGCTGGATAATTGCAGACTTGAGTAAATTGTCCATGAGCAGTATATATAGCCAGCCTATATCTAGCCCTTTATTTTATACTTAAATCAAACTATAGAATAACTGAAAACTGTTTGTGTTTTAGGGGAAGTAACATCCGTTTCCTTGCTGTGGGGCTTCATGTCCTTGTGTGTATGATTCTAGTCCATAGTTCTTGCACACCTTGCTCTATGGCATTAGTGTCCAGCCCTTTCTCTGTCCCTTGTGTGGGATCACCCAACCATGCATCCCTCACCTCATTCCTTGGTGCAGAGGCTACATCCTTCCTGCTTTGTCCTTGTGTCTCTCCTGTTTTCTTGTCCTGTTTTTACACTCTTGGTTTTTTCCCCCTTTGTTGCCACATATACTTTCTCCCACAAAAAATGTTTCAGAGAGCAATCCTCTGTTGCTAATAGAAAAGGGTGGAGGGAACACACAACTAACCTCAGAGAAGGGATGAAAACTTGTGACTAACAAAAGCTTCACTTCCATAAGAAACCATTAAAAATACAAGGTGATGCAGGGTAGGGTAACTGTTAATACCTGATGAAATTTCCCCTTTTTTTCCTTCCAACACATTGTCTTTGGTCAACTTGATTCTGAATGCAAATCCTCCGCTGAAAAGATGCGTGATCCATCTCCATGCAGCTGATACTAATAAATCTGCACTTCAGTCTGTGGTCAGGTGGTATTGAGTGTAGTGTCTGCCAGCCTGTGGCTTCTAAGGGCTGGTCTCCACTAGAAAATTAGATTGACCCAGCTATGTTGTTCAGGGGTGTGAAAAATCCATACCCCTGAGTGACCTGGTTTAGCCAACCTAAGTCCCTGTGCGTACAGCACTAGGTCGATGGAAGAATTCTTCCACCGACATAGCTACTGCCTCTTGGGGAAGTGAATTAACTACAGCGATGGGAGTGTCTTCGCTGTAGTGAGTGTCTATACTGAAGTGCTTCAGTGGTGCAGCTGTAGTGTTTCAAGTGTAGACAAGCCCTGAGAACAAACCTATCTTTTTGTAGCCTGACAGGTTGTTGTTGGCTGCCAGCTTAAGTCTGTTGTTTATATGAGGTTATTGCTGTGTTCTTGATGCCAAAGATTTTCCTCAGACAGTCTGATTCCCATTTCAGCCTGAGAGGATGTGCCATTTTACTTTGTCTAACTGTGTGTTTCCTTGGTATTAGGAATTCCATATCTCAGAAGACTTTAATAAGATGAACTTTGTCAAGACGTACCCAGGTAATACAGCATGGGGTCTTTGCTAATGTGTTTACTTCACAGATGAGATTTTTAAAACATTCGATACATCTTCATAATTGAGCCAAGGCCAAATACGAACATTGACTCTAACTTTTTAATAGTATAAAAGATATTGGTAAATTACTGGTAATTACCTTTTAATCAAAATAGGATCAATTTGTGTAGCCCAAGTATAGGATTTTAGAATATTTAAAATCGAAAATTAATTTTTGGCCATAGTCTTACTGCAAAGCTGCTGGCTTCATTGTGATGTAGTTGGCTATGGAGAAGATTCCTTCTGAAAAGCTTTAAATTCAGAGCTGAAGAAAACAAAACCTTCTAACAGTCTGACCCAATTTTTTTTAGAAGTTTGTGGGTAGGAGGTGATTGCTGCAACATTTGCAGTGTGAAGGTCATCACAGTTGGGAGCTAGCAATCCCCCAAAGGATTGAGAGTAGGAGCTTTATTAAAACCTCACATAACTGTAAGCTAGTGTGCTGAATGTCTCTAACTCTGGTTATATTGTTCAGCACTGAACAGTGGTAATACATTTGTGGATGTTTTAATCTGCAGATGACTTTGGTTTCTAAAGGTAAGGAAACTGATACAGTACTGGTGTCTAATATAAAGGGGAGGGGGAAGGGGAAGTCTGCTCTTTAAATACAGTTTGGTGGTATTGTCCTAATAGAGGATAGTACTTACTTAGGTGCAATAATTAGGCCAAAATGCCTGTTACTAAACACTGAGGCTCTTGGGTCTTGGTTAAAGTAGTAAGAATTGAGTAATGCAGCAAGAATGAAATCATACAAGATCCCCATTCATCAGGTATCTCTGGCAGTAGAGGGGGGACTACTCTATTAAAACTAATGTTGATGGAAGATACAAGGTTCTTTCCAAGCATTATTTAGTATTCCGTCTAAAGAATAGTATTCCATCTAAAGTACAACCAAATTCAGTCACTACTATTCCACAGTTATTAATTAATAACTTGATGATGTACAGAAGACTTTGTACTGAAGGCCAAAAATGTAGGAAAACAAAATACAGCTTGTTTTATGACTTCCTATCGTACTCTAATGGAAAAGGGGTGTTCTTGTTTAAAAGAGACCTTGTTTTTAAAAGCTACAAAAGCCCCTTTATCCTAAAAGCAGATGACTTTACATTTCAGTCCAAAAGAAGTATCTCTAATACACCCTCCCCCTATATTTTCTTTCACTTATGTCTCATCTACATCTTCTTACTTAATTAAATGGTCTCAGCACTGTACAGAGTGCTCTCACTGGAGTTCAGTTGTCAACATGCCCTCAAAGGAGAGGAACCTTCACATTTCTATGTGAGGGAAATCACTAAATGAAAGGAAGATTCAAATGAGCTGACTTCTTTTTCTGACATGGCTGGTTCATTAAAGGCCAATCACTGAGATGGAAAATGCAAAATAAATTGAGAACTCTGCTAACCTTATCAAACTTTGGGGCTGCAGTAAGTGTGACAGTGAAGGTAAAATTCTTCCTGCAATTATTACTTTTTTTTTCCTGGTAACACTTCAACCTGTGTTTCTAACTGTACAACGGAAGATTTGATTGAAGTATTTCTATCTGAAGTGCTCAGATCCTTTGCTTTATTTCCACAGCTCATCAAAATCGGGTGTCGGCTGTCATTTTCTGCCTGGGAGCAGAGTGGGTTATCAGTACTGGCCATGACAAGTGTGTCAGCTGGATGTGCACCAGGAGTGGGAGTATGCTGGGAAGACATTACTTCACCTCTTGGGCTTCATGTTTACAGTATCCATCAAAAATGATCACATTACTAACAAACCACAAGACAAAATTTCATCATTACAAAATCCACTGCAGTATAGTTAGCATAAAAAGTATTAAATAACTAATGCTAAACTACACTTGGCAAAATCCAGTTGCATCTTGTGAATCTATATCTTTTTTTTTTTATTTTTCAGTGTATTTTTTTCACTTATTTGAATTCTTAGAGTTCACAATCTACAATGGCTCCCCCCAGTTAATAGTATGAATTAGTAGGGTTCTGCTGTTCAGACTCTTTAAAATGCTTAGCTTCTAGCTTACAAAATTACAAGAATACATTAAAGATACTGAAACCTCTGTTGTTCAGTTTCTCTCCACAGCACGTATATAACTTGCTATGCTGTTTATCCAGGTCATTCTTTCTTCAAAGAAACGTTTTTAATTAAAAAGACAATCTACAAATGCTCATATGATTATTGGCCTCCTATACACACTTAAAAATTGGGATTAAACTGAATTCTTAGTAATTGAACAGAAACAGGTATCTTGTATGGTATGCAGATTAGATTAAAAAAGATGGAAATAGCATGGCATCTTGTGTGCTTTCAGTGCATAACTTAAGTATCTTATCCAGAAATTCAATACACAACACAAAGTATGAGTGTTGTTGGTGTAATCGTGTTATATTCATCTGCATTTAAGTGTGTGTGTGGGGGGGGGGGGGAAGAAAAAAGCCATCTATGTCTCACTCTATGCCTTAACTTGAAATGTAAGTCGACCTGTATTGGGTTAACTTACAGCCACCGCAGTAATTACTGCAGTTGTGTATGTCCAGACTACCCTCCTTGTGTCGGTGGTACGTGTCCTCACCAGGAGCGCTTCCACTGACCTAAGAAGGCCAATGTGGGGAGCTGAGAGACTGGACTCTCATCCCCTTTGGCAGCTCCCTGCCAGGACCCCAGCTGCCCCACTGGCTCCCCGTGGTCCCGGTGGGCTGCCCCTCCACCCCCTGCCCCATTCCCTACTGGGAGTGGGGCGAAGCTTTCGACCATGAAATTGACAAGGCTGACAGGCTCCCGCTGGGGTGTTGTGGGGGCCGCTGTGAAATTGACAAGACGGCCAACAGCCGATGTAAGGGACGTAGTGTCTACATAGGCTTATGTCAGCATAGTGTCTTTCACCTCTTGTGGAGGTGGAGTAGATATGTCGGTACAGTAGTGTACGTACTTCGGCGGGAGGCAGGCTGTAATGTAGACACTGATGTAATTAGGTTGACATAAGCTGTTTTATGTCAACGTAACTGTAGTGTTGACCAGCCCTCAATCTATATCCCAGAATAAATCTCACAAGATGTATATTGTATGAGGTGTAGTTCTCTACCCATCAGCCCCTACCCAGCTCCCTTCATTAGGGCTATTTCATGTCCCGTTAGTATGTGCCATATTTTCCACAATCAATTCAGATTTAGCGAATCAAAACATAGAGAAAAGAATGAACTGGTTGATCTTACAGTTCTTTCTTCCTTTCTCTTCTCTGTCCCGCAGTAGGAGTATTCCCTACTGTGTATTTTCTAGTGTTCTGTCTGGGACAGCTTTAAAATTCCAAAGTGACAGGCTTGGAAGCCTGTTCCTCTGCGTAGTGGATCTTGTTGTTGGAAAGCTTTTCCCGTTGGTAAGCCTTAAGGTTTCCCCTCATTACTCCTAATGATAGGCCATTGTGCTGTACTTGGTGACTGATGTGCCAATTTCCTTTGCCAAACTACATATCTTTTTATCCTACCAAGTCTCTTAATTCCTTCAGCTTCCTGATCATGTTTGTTGATCTCTTCTAGACTCACTCCATTTTGTCTGTTACCAGGTTCTGGGAATGAAATGCTTAGGTGGGAACTTAATTCATAAGCTGTATAGCCAGGACTGTTTATAAACGGGGTCTAATATCTCTTGATGTAATGCCTGTGTATCCTCAGTTTAAAACTAAAGTGTGTCTTTTTTTTTTTTTTTTTTACTGCTTAATACTGCAAGCTCATATCAGATTTCTTGTCCTTGGATATTTTAACATTCCTGGTTTTGTTCCTTTTATTGAATAGGTGTGTCCAGTTATTTTCCCATAGCTGTATTAATTTACATCTGTTTCCAAGCTGGATCTTATTTATTCCTTTCTGCCTGTCTATAATCTTTCAAGGTTCCTTTGTCTTATTGTTCTGCCTTCACTGATGTTAATTTGTCTCCGTTTACATCTCAAGAGGTCACTAATGTGCTATTACTTTCTTCAAGATCACTAATTATCTGGACCTCCATATTCATGGGCTCCCTGCAATTTGCTTTCCTGCCACAAATTTCCTTCCCAAAAAGGAACTCGGGATGCTAATGTTTTCTCTATTGTGCTGTGATGGTAAACACTTCATATAAAATGTCAGGTTAATTTTAGTGTCTTTCATCCTGGTGGTTTCCAAAGTGCTTGCAAACTTGTCTCATGTACAGATAATATAGTCATCACTGCAGTCACCTCCCATCATGAATGTGGCAACCCTAAACAGCTTAGGCCATGAATGGTAGGTAGGTATCCAGTTGAATCTGCAAGGGAATGTAGGTATATGGAGTGCAGTTGAACAGAGGGAACGTGTCTAAGACTCTGGGGCTTACAGCAGTGATCTTCTACAGAGGCCATGTGGCGACTGTGGAGGGGGCCCGAAGGGGGAGGGGTAAAGTCCGGAAGCTGAAGAGATGAAGAGGCAGGGCTTGAGTCAGAAGGGCTGAGATGGGGCCAGAGCCTCTCCTCTTCGGGCCTCCTCTTCTGGCCACGCTGCCTGGTGCGGCATGCAGTGGCTGCACTCTCCCAGGCAGCCTCCGGCCACGCTGCCTGCCTGGGCTGTCCCAAGCAAGCAACGTGGCCGGAGGCTGCTTGGGAGAGTCCATTAGTGGCTCCACACATGCCAGGGGGACTGAAGCAGAGCTCTCCCTCTCCCTACCAGGAGACGGGGAGAGCATGGAGCCCCTGGGCTGGGGGCAGGGCAGGGGCGAGTCACATGGGGGGGGGGGGGGGCATGTCCGGGGGGGGGGGGGGATGGGTCACGTGACCCCCTTAGCTGGTGTCCCCTTTGTGTCCCTCCCACTAGTCGCCTCACTCCTCTTAAAAATGGTAGCCCTCCAGCAATATAGTTCCCCAAACCATGTGCTAAGGGATTGGTTCTATACCAAATAGAAAAGAATGCTTCATGCTGAATTGCCGACACTGCTTTGAACCATGTGTTTTCTTTTGAGGTCTATGCACTGATTTGGCCTACCACACTTAACTTGCAAAACACAATACTACAAACTGAAAGTAGCTCTGTCTTCCTGCATTTGTTCTTTCTTGGCAATGCTCTGTTTCACACCAGTCTCCAAGTTAGGTATGTTGACATAACAGTACAGTACTGTGCATAATAAGTGCTCATTACAAGATCTGTTCACAAAACAATCCAGTGTTCTCTTCCCCCAACCCCTGAGTTCTCATCCATAAGCATCCGGTGGAAACTCTGGTCATTAACTAATCCTCAGTCATTTCAGTGAATATCTGGAACAGATTGCTCCAAGGAAAGGGGAAAATTTAGAATACTTTGTTTTTAACAGAAAATGTTTCATTTAGCTTTCCATGGCATGGCCTTTATTTTCTTCAAAGGAAATTGCTTCCTGTCAACACACTGTGCTTGAATCGTTAACAGTAGGGAGCAAATGACCCGCTTGTCAGTATATACGTTTGATATTCAGCACAGTTGTTAACTCATGCATCAGAGAAGCTTTTAATGATCTTTTTCAAAAGCTTATACAAATATAAAATATTACAGAATGAATGTTCCTTAGTGTAGTGTCTGATAAAACAATATATTAAATTATAATATAATTTATATAATGGACGCCTAAACTTCAGGATGGAATAATGCTGATAAGTCTGAGACATTGCAGTTGGCCGCCTGTCTATATAGGCTTCTCAAGTGCAGGATTGTTTATTTTCAGATGCTCAAATTCTTAACCCCCTCATGCTTGTTAACAAGACATTGGAAGCACAGCTTTCTCCCCATTGTGGTGACAATTTTTTAGTTATACTGCACTTCTTTCTACACAGTAAACTCCTTAGTTACCTCTTGTCTTTTGGTGGTGGCCTCAGCAGAGAGCAAACAATAAACCTATCTCAGGGACTGGGGAAGTCCCTTCCAGGAATAGGTGGTGCTAGCTGTTTTCTGGATGGAGCAATACCAGCTGCTCTTCAGGCACCACTTCCTATGTGAATAAGAAAGCTTTTGAAAAGGAACTTTTATGTTTGCCATATATTATCTTGATCATTCAGCTTACATTACAAAACAGAGGGAGGGAAAGGATTTATCCACTTATATTGTAAGGTCTCTGGGGCAGGGACAGTCTCTTATTTTTTTGTACAGTGCCACACAAAGGGCCTTTATATCACCCTTCTATCACCAGGATTGAAGTATTACTGGAATACAAATAATGCAAATAGGAGGTCAGTAGATACCTGTCATGGAAGGTAGGGCTAATTAGAATCCAGGTACTCCAGAGACACGGTTCTGGCTTCCCTCAGGCCCTTCTGTAGCAACAACACTCTCTCCTATTTCCCCCCCTTTCCTTAACTGAAGTAAACGAGTAATTTCTGATCCTGTTTGTCATTAAATCTGAATATAAGGTACCTTATGTAGGCAAGACTCTATTCCATGAGTTCTCCTGCACTTTCAGGTAAGTTAAAAGCAGATTATTGATCTGTCTCTAAGTCTCCAGTCTAGTTCATAAAATATTTTGGCTCCTCTTGAGTTTCAGGAACATCCTTAATTGAAGGTTCAATTATTCTTGCACTTTTTAAACTTCTGGTGAAAGCAAAGCTGATTTTTTTTTTTTAAACATACCCTTTGTGTAAACCTTTTGTTCTTCTTCGAGTGCTTGCTCATATCCATTCCAGTTAGGTGTGTGCGCGCCGCGTGCACGATCGTCGGAAGATTTTTACCCTAGCAACACCCGGTGGGTCGGCTGTGGAGCCCC